AGCTCGCATTTTTTTATATAATCCAAGTTATAGATCAAGTCATTCTCCCCCCCCCCCCCCCTGCATATTGTATGTGTAACATCCATTGTTTTGCTTTTAGACATTACAGATCTCTTTTCTCTTACAAAAAGAAGAATAATGAAAACAGGATTTAAGTACAGTAACACTTAGTATTCCCTCAAATTCAATTCCAGGAGCCCCGTAGATAATCTAATCCCATTATATGCAGTGGCATAGTAAAATGGTGTTGCTTATATAAAATGGGAAAACAAAAGTTCATTCTGGGGATTTAAAAATATTTTAAAGATGTGGATGGTCAAATCCATGGATATAGAATCTGTGGCTATGGAGGGTTGACGATATAAGCTACAGTGTATAAATCTACATTGTTTTTATCGGTTTTAAAAAATCAGTTTTTCCTTCAAAGTAAATGAAAAGGAAGAAGACTTGTTGACTGTTGCATCTAGGTTTGAAAAAAATGAATGTCATTTCTGTTAATGATTTTTTTTAATTTATACCCCACCACAATTTCCTCGAAGGGACTCGGAGTGACTCACAGAAGCACTTCAAAGTGCCACATCTAAACAAACAATACATAACAATACATGCTTGTTCATGTGAACATTTGCTTTGTTATCGTTTGTTCCTTGCTATAGGAAGGAAATCAGATGATATTGCAACTGCTGGCTTTGTTTTGAGTAACTTAAGTTATGAATCTTTGCTTTTGTATGCCATTCATCGTGGGACTTTTGCATAGTGCCTGACAAAGTCACATCACATCACTCATTGAGGTTGGACATGTTGCCACAGCCAACAGCAGCAGAGATTTTTCAAAAGCAATGGGTCTTCAGTGTGCCAAGGGCTCTTCCAGACAAAACTTTTTGACTGACAATGCTTCACTAGCTAGTCTTCTCCACAATGTATGAGAGTTGGGACTTAGCCTTCCTGCCACAGAGGATGTCCGACTGGTTTTTAAAAATCTGGAATGATATATGCTTTAGTTGTGGAAATAAAAAGTGCCCAACCTTGAAGGAAATACACATACAGACACACACACAAACATCAGTATGTGAGGTATATATAGAGTGTATAGTTTGTGAGTGGGGCCTCCTTATGTAAGTCTTAAAGCCCTTGCATTCTTTAAAACATCTACCTATAGTACAGTGAGTCTCCAAGCTACAAACAAGATAGGTTCTGTACATTGGTTCCTAAGTTGAATTTGATGTAAGTCGGAACAGGGACATTTAAAAATGGAACTCCAGCTCGTTGACTTTGGGTGTGTGTATATATATGTGTGTATGTGTATACACACGCATATACGCATGCATACATACATACACATATAAACTTTAGATAGCCTAGGGAAGGGTTAATGCCCCTGTAGTGTTTGTTTTGCTAACTGTTCAGAAATTTTCATCTGACTTTCTGTCCCTGTAATAATTGGATGTAGAAAAATTTGGCTTGTTATGGAAACAAGGATTGGTGAGAAAGCTTCAGTTGAGACTCCTTTTCCGCATGATAACTCTTTCCGTGAATTACCCTTCCTAGGGGAAGATTTCTTTCACTTCCTGTTGTGCTACCCCTGTTCTTAACTATGTGTCATGTGTAAGTTGGATGTGTGTGACTTGGGGACTGCCTATATTAGGAGGCATATTCCCCCGCTATATGAGACAATTTCTGGAACAAAGTTATATGTAAATGAGCTGTGCTATTGTTTCTTCATCACAATCTATCTGTCTGTCTCTTTCTCTTCTTTCTCTCTCCTTCTCTTCCCCTTCAGCCTTCCTTGCTGATTTTGCTCCACTGGCTCTTTCCATTAGAACTAGTATGATGTGCTGGCTATCATATTGGGTTTGTATGTGAAAAATCCTGGCTTGGTTTACTACATAGCCTTAGGCAAGTCATTGTCTCTTAGCATGACCTTGTTCAGTGATTTACTGCAAGGATAAAATAAAGAGAATATCACAAACACTACCACAGATGGAATATAAATGTGGAAAATAAATGTTCTGGTGGGTTAAAACACAACTTCAGACCCCTTTTATACATTCCACTGATCACCAGCTCAAATTACACTGAATTGTGTGTGTGGGAGGGAGTTTCCTAAAGGGACACATATCAAATCTATTCAAGAGTGAGATAAAATCTGTTGTTTGGCGCTAAAGACTTAAGTAGGAGTTTAGCAAAAGAGCAAGCATAATACAACTGCCTCTTTCCTGAATTGATCTGACTGGCAAGAGTTTGTAGAATGAATGCAAATAACCTGATCTGCAATAGGAGATTAGAAAGGTGCCTCGGCAATGACCCTCTGCTATTATTTTGGTAAACTCTATAGTAGCAGTGCTCTACCAAAGAAACTAGCCTAGAGATAATTGGGAGAACTGGTTCCATGAAAGTTGTTCTAAATATGAAGTGTTATCTTTCAAAATTCTCATTAAAGCCAATCCATTTTTGTGGTCACCTATTTGGTAAGAAATGTACAGATATGAAAAAGATGTATTGAGCAGTGGTTCTCAACCTGTGGGTCCCCAGATGTTTTGGCCTTCAAGTCCCAGAAATCCTAACATCTGGTAAACTGAGTGGGATTTCTGGGAGTTGTAGGCCAAAACACCTGGGGACCCACAGGTTGAGAACCACTGGTTTTGAGTAATACATGAGTTAGATAAGCAAAAAATTGGTATAAACCAGAAGAATTATTGGCATATCTATGATTAGAAAAATAAATAACAATCTTACTATAGTGACTTGGTATTGATAATGCCTCTCTATATCATCAACAAATCTTCATGAATGTGATAGCACATACTTCCAGAGGAGAATTATGTCATATAGTAACTAGAGTATCGGATACATGATTTTAGGTTCATACGTATGGACTTGTTAGGTATGTTAAGGAAGTTTAACATCAACAATTATTTTAGAAAAGGGGAAGTATAAAATCCATGGTATGTATTTTAAGATTGGGACATACTTAACTTATATTAAGACGTGGATAATAGACTAAAGTATAAACATGGATAATGTATAGGATCTAGCCTTAAATATGTGCTTTAGATGTGACCATGGTGGTAAATAGTGCAAACAGTGATCTGTCATCAACCTGACTCCCTGATCTTCACAAAGTTGGGCTTTAGCACAGCTGGTTAATCACCAGCAGCAATAGATCGCACCAATCAAAATGTTGTCAGTTGAAAGCCCAGGTCGGAGTGAGCACCCAATCTTCAGCCCAGCTAACTGTCCACATAAGCAGTTCAAAAACATTTGTGAATTGTGAGTACAGAAATTATGCTCCACTTAAGCAGGGAGGTATTTTACAGAACTACAAAAAGGAAATACTAGAAAATGCCAGTGATCCAAGGAAGGAGGAAGTCTGTGATCAAGGGCTCTTCATCATAAAGGATGGAGCGACAGCACCCCCCCCCCCCCCCCCCCCCCCCCCCCCCCCCCCCGTGGCCAGAATTGAACACAACCTCCAGGACACCGAAGTTGGGAAAAATGCTGGCATGTTGTCTGTCCTGTCTGTTTAATGCCCTTGAATGTTTGCCATGTATGTGTTCTGTGATCAGCCCTGAGTCCCCTTCAGGGTGAGAAGGGCAGAATATGAATGCTGTAAATAAATAATAAATAGTTTAGACCAGGTAAACTTTCTAACTGGTCCACTTAAACCACTAGAATAGTGTGGAACAGGATTGTCCATAAATCCATAAGTCTGCTTGGTTCTTCCCAGTTCCACACCAATTGCTTTCACAAGGGACTCGAGAGAACAAACTAGGATAAAGCAATTGGATAGTATCATCATGAGTACCTTCTAAGTTTGGTTCAAAATTTCTCTGGTTCTTTTGTCATTTTGATACCTTTGAAAGTAAAGTGTTCAGATCTGTGGGTTCCTTTTTGAATTTAGTAGGTAATTTGATCAGATCATTAGTAGTCCATCACTGTGTAAGCTCATGCAGTGTTCATTCATCTATAGCTGTTCCTGTTATGATTTCATAGATGCATAATTAATTAGGGCTTTTGATTCCACAGTGAAGAGCGCTTAAATCCATTTACGGATGCTTTCCTCCAGACTGTAGAAAAGTTTATTCTTGAATTAAACTGGTGGCTATAATAGTTGAGTTGTTAGAAAAACAATTTCCAAGCTCTATTCCCCACATCACACTACCCCACCACCCTTTCTTCCTTCTAAATATAAGAATATTGCTGAAAGACTTCTAACATCACCTTATTAAGTTTTATTAAGAATGTGTAATGAACCTGTGGTGATGCAGTATGGATTACTTTCCGTAATAAGAAGGTAAACCTTTTAGACTAAGAAATCTGCACATTTCACAGTGTTCATAGATTAAGATCAGGCCTTGTAGGAGCTGTTGTTTTATCTTATATTAGGGACATTCTGAATCATTTTTCGGATCCTTAAATTCTGTGCCTGCCACAAACTATGTTTTGTCATTATGTACACAAAATGCAGCAAAGTTTGTAGACTTGTACAACTAAGCCCCTTCTTTTTATCCTTTACAGGATGTGGTGGGAAGTTGAGCTTCTCATTAATGACTTGTAACAAACTTTACTTTCCCATTTTATGTGACTGTGTAGGAGTGATATTGGACATTCAACATTCATACTATCCACTGGGCTTAACAGTGTTTCTGGGAAGTGCAGTTCAGCAATATTGAGGGTCACATGACTCTCATCCTTGGGCAGTGTTGATAACTGGCAAAAGCCTGGCTGGGGGGGGGGGAGGGGGCAAACACAGTGTTGGACAGTCATTTGGCAAATGGTTTTCTTTGCTGTGGCAGCCCAGTTATGGGAATACCTTCCTCTCAGAAGTCCACTTAGTGTTAATACTAGTTATCAGACACCAAGAAAACAAATCTGTTTGTAATGTGCCTTCAAGTCAACTCTGACTTATTGCAAGCTTATCACCAAGTCCACTGTACACATTAATGTTGTCTGAAGAACCAATCCTAACTATTTCTTTTCTTTTCTCTTTTATCTTCCAGGTGGAGCGGGAAATAGCCATCCTGAAGTTGATAGAACACCCTCACGTTTTAAAGCTACATGATGTTTATGAAAATAAAAAATATTTGTAGGTATTATTCATTTTCAGAAAACATGGGGAATTAATAGCTATAAGGAAAATGCATTCAGCCTCTGTTAACATGGGGAATAAGCTGTCATTTAAAAATGATACTTGAGAGTCCTTTGTGGCTTTATTCAACACATAGAAGACAATCAATTAGTATAATTCCTATTTGTCACTCCTTTTGAAATTGAATTTTTGACATTCAAAATCAATTAAAATTCTGAAGTCATTCAAAATATTCAAAATGTTTATTGATCCTATCAAAAAGGAGAAAAAAATCTGTATTTCACAGGTAAAAATGCTCTATAATTTAGATGAGAGACAGAGTTTCTTCCCGTTCATTAGTAAAAACTCCCCCGTCCCCAAAACAGAACAAGGCAAGGATCATATTTTACAAGATATATTAATGTTAGCACAGTTGTGTGCTGTTTGGAACCGTGATTATTTTAAGAAGATAACGGGGCAAAATACATCTATGTATCTCTGTGTTGCAGCAAAGGTGTATGTCTGTTTTAAATTAAACCTTTGTTGAAAGTACCCTTTTTAATGTCACCTTGCCATGAGGGTATAATTGCTGAACCAAAGAGGGAATGTTAGATGAATGTAATAATCCCACACAGACTGTGTAAGAGGAACAACGAAATCTTGTCTGATGAGACTATTTCAACACTTCAAGGCTTCATTTTAGCAGAGGCAGTTGTGACTTCTCCTGATGTGGCAAATTGTTTCCACTAGTGAACTTTGGCTGCCATATTTTTTTAGTAAATTATCTGAATACAGTCATGCACAGTCATATATAACTGTTGCTGTGTAGCCAATAGGAGTGCTTCGTGGCAATGGATTAGTTGTTCCATTTTGTTTAGTTAACTGACTTGTGAAAACATTAGTTCTCTTACTGCCAGAAGCTCTTAGTTTTGGAGATAAACTAGAAGTACTTCAAGACGTAGTGCTGCTATGGATCATAGTGCATGAACTTCACCTTTTTCCTCCACATTTTTTCTTACAAGGAAAAAGGTGAAAGAACTGGTGGGGAAACATAGGAGGGACACAGATGGTAGACAATGGCATCCAGATGCCCGTCTTTCCCCCCAATAAAATTGCACATTTAAAGTCAACATAATTGCATAATAAAAGCTTCTTTTGGAAGCACCTTGGAAATATAATTGTGTCCTTCCAACTCAGTCATCTGGCTTTGAAAGTCAATGAAACTATATTATCTTTATATGATTACCACCTAGTTACCTTTGCAACTGGCCTGATCATTTTGTTATGCCATTTCACTTAGGTTTTCTGTATTTGCATATTTTATATGAATGGATATGAGTGACCTATGGTAGTGTTTAAAATGTGTTTCTGTGTATGTGTACTGAGACAGTAATCCTGCTAAGTTGTTTAGGGTGCATTTATCTTACACATGTATAGTAGTATGAGCTCACTTTAAATGCCATAGTTGCCTTCTTCCAGAATCTTTTGATTTGTAGTTTGTTGCAATAATTAGAATTATCTGCTAGAGGGTACTAATCCGGTCTCCTGAAGTATGGCTATATTGCTTTAAAGCAATACTAAGAACCTCGCCACATTACAAATCCCAGGCTCCCATAAAATGGAGCCATGACCATTAAAGTGGAGTCAAATCGCCATAAAGATTTTATGACAAGTATACTTTTACACGCCTCTACATGGAAATATCCTAATATGAGGAAGAATAGATGTGCCATCAAGTCACCTCTTGACTTTCATTTAGTTTTCTTAGACAAGAATTACTAAGTGATGGTTTTGCCAGTTCCTCTTTTTGAAATACAACCTATAACACCTTGATTGGGGATTGCCACCCAAGTGCTATCCAGAACTGACCCTGCTTAACATCCAAGATCTGCTGGGATCTGTTCCCTTTAGGACAGTGGTTCTCAACCTGGGGTTCCCAGATGTTTTTGGCCTTCAACTCCCAGAAGTCCTAACAGCTGGTAAACTGGCTGGGATTTCTAGGAGTTGTAGGCCAAAACATCTGGGGACCCCAGGCTGAGAACCACTGCTTTAGGATATGGGATAAGTGTCAAATGAAGGATAATTGTTGTCAAAAAATTTAAGTTAAGTGTGTTGATTAATGGCGATAATTTAAAGGAAATTATACAGGTTTTCTGCTAATGTCGTTGCTCATTATTAAAACAAGCTGTTAAGATTGGCAACATAGAAAGCTAATCAATCAATAAATTGGGGTTAGAGACTATGAAACGGCAGGGAAGCTGTTGTGAAGGGAGGAAAGGGTTCACATAAGTAATCTGGGAGCATGTATAATTCAGGGATAGAAGCATGAATACAGATACTGCCAACGAAAGCAACAGGGTCCAATCTTCCTCCTCTCATCCCCAAAGCCTTACAAATTAGTCTCAGGTTACTGCATCACCTTTCCATCAAACTTGCCATCGTCTTGCTAGCAGGTCTGGTGGCATAGTTTCTTAGGCATATTATGAATTATGGTTGATATTTCAGATGCCAGAGACTAATTGCAGTGCAGCACTGGGGAATATTTCCTCGATAAATGTTAATTTCACAAATCATGTTTGACTTTTGGTTTATTATTTAATTTGTGACAAGGGGCTTTGGTTGAGTAGATTCTTAATGCAGTCATGAATCCTTTTTCCACAGTTTATTTAATGCTTAAAATACACTTGGAGAGAGAAAAAATTAAAAATTTAGAGGCCTAGCAGAACTGTACCACTACAAATGTGGTTCTGGTTCTTTCTTTCTTTCCAATGTGTGTGTGTGTGTGTATTGAGAGAGAGAGAGAGAGGCTATTTTGTTTACTAGATAATTTATATGTACAGTAGAACTCACTGTGAAATATACTGGATATCAGGTGGGAATCTCAAGTTAAACTTTTCTCCATCAAAACAAACCAAAAACAAGTAAAGAAACACAGAGAAAATGTGGGAATTTAATCTGTCAGGAAAAAGGATTTAGCTTGTTTTTCTTTGTGATGGAAAATCTAGTTTTTTCTTGTTTGCAAATGTCTTTTTAATGGGAACATATGCAAGTATAGATACCCTACTTACAGAAATACACACACAGTCCCCACGTACAAGGCAATCAGGAAAACTTGATTTACTGCCTACATTGGGTCTAGGTGTCATGATATTCAATTTGCAAACTTATTTCATTAAACAATATTAAATAATGTTTCACGCTTTACCCACTGTGGCAGTGGTTCTCAACCTGGGGTCCCCAGATGTTTTTGGCCTACAACTCCCAGAAATCCTAACAGCTGATACCAACTGGTTGAGATTTCTGGGAGTTGTAGGCCAAAGACATCTGGGGACCCCAGGTTGAGAACCACTGTGGTGGGATTCAGTCATGAGAGAAAAGTGTAGTACAAACAAATGTTGTTGCTGGTGGTGGTGGTAGTACGGGTGTCATACCATATTACTGGCTGCTTTCTGTGGGATGCCATACCACGGAAAACCAAGGCTTTATTAATATATTATGGAAGCTTCTCTGCACAGACAGTGCAACCTTCTTATCTATGGACTTGATATCCACAGTTTTACTTATCCACACTCCAGTGCAATTGTGGCTCCTCTAGGTTATCTAGTGTGAATCTATTCTATGCTTCTGACTCAAATATAATAAAAATCTAGAGTTCACTATTATCCATCATTTCAGGTATGTGTAGGTATTTCTTGGAACATATCCCTCAGCAATTATAGTGGTTGTACTGTATTGGCAGCCATTCTATTGGGCATCTTCTGCATGAAGTTGCATGCTTTTAGTTGTTGGGTAATGCCCATATTCTGCTGAAGTTTACAGGAGTGGAGTTATGCATGTGATACCACCACATATGGTGCATTTCATGTTGATGGAATGGTGTTGCGTTGCACATCACTGTGCACAGCACATTGGATTGTGCAATGTCAGAACTCTATAATGAGGAGATACAGCACAACCAGTGTATCCCTTTGTGGCTATAAACTTATGATCTCAAGCTTGATTTCTAACTTCTCAACAGATAACTGAAACAGGAGACACCCAAAACGTTGAGCACTAGATGGTTTTTTATTGATTATGATGTATAATTTATTGTTTTAATTGTTTTAATTACTGTTTATATATGTTTATTTTTATCTTATTGTTGCATTGGCATCAAATTGTGCCTTTTGTAAGCCGCCCTGAGTCCCCCCTCGGGGGTTGAGAAGGGCGGGGTAGAAGTGCGAGAAATAAAGCTCAGATCTCACATTAGTTGTGCAATATGTTTGCTCTATATCTGGAGTATGGCGAGATACACACCCTGCAGCAATGCTATCTCTGTTTAGGAAACACATCATTTTATAGGATCATATACAATGTCACTATACCAGCGCTCATATGGGAGTATTTTGTGGGATTCCTCCCAGAAGAATGCATCCTGGGTATAGCTATTACTACTATAACTAACTTGCTTGAGTGGTGGATTTTCCAGTTTCGCTCCAAAGAGGTTCCTTGTTTATATATGTCATTGTGCATAAGGTGGTTAGATCCGATGAGTTTCATAGTGTTGTATAAAACATCTGCTGCTTTTATTCATGGCAATAGAATTGTTTGTTTAAGTCCTATCACAGATTGCCCTGTTTGGAAAACAAGAAGTAAATAAGACAATAAGGCTAGATCAAATTGACCCAGGCAGCATAAACAGGAACAGAAAAGTATCTGTAAACCAAAAGTCACAGATCTTTCTGGATTGCTAGAGGTGCCCAAATAATTGGCCAATGGAGCGAAGAAAATTTACTTCTCTGGAAAGGGCTTTGGCTCACAAAAAGTGTCCCAGAGCATTTGGCTTGTCCCTCCTTCACCAGACACCCCTCTGGCTAGTTTCTTCTAAGCGCTTCATGACCCTATATGAGTCTTTGGTGGTATTTAGACATGCACGACTACACACTATAAATAACAGGCAAAGTAGCATTCAGAAAGCCTTTCATCCCCAATAAATCAGAGAATGAAGTGATTCTACAGCATAAAAATGTACCTCTTTA